TGCCATGCTGATGAGCCCCAAACAGCTGGAAGAAAACAGGTGTCCATGGCTGCCACTGCCCGCATGATATGGCTGTGTGCATGCGTGAGGTAATGGCCAGGCTGTGGGTTGCTGTATGTGTGCCCCTTGCTTTACTTTAGTGGTAACTCATGATCCACCTTCCCTGCACATGTTGTGATAGAACTGCTGTGCGGTTCCCAGCCAACAGCTCCCACATGTGTTGTGTGGAGCTGGCGCTTGATAGACTGCTTTGCACTCACTTCTGCAGTTAGGAGTTTTTGAGATGTGGGTTTACCCCATTCATTAACCCAACGACTTTGCCACACTGGTGGGCCCCACTACGGGTGAAACAGCTGTCTGTGGTTGCCACTGCCCGTGTGGTCTGGCTCTGCGCATGCGCGAGGTACTAGCCCGGCTGTGGGTTGGTGTTTTGGTGCACCTTGCTCTAAGTTTGCACTATTTTCAATGCAACTGAATTAAGCTCACTGTATTATTCATCAGTTAGTGTATTTCATGACATTTCTAAAAAAATTCAACAGCATAGGTGTATAGGTAAAATCTTTGTTCATTTGCACTTAGTTACAGCTATGACTAGTTTAGAGCGGTAATATTGCACTTTGAAATGTGTTATTTTTTTGCCGTAATATTCGTAGTAGGAATGAATTACATTTTTGTGAATTTGCAGATAACCTATGGCAGTGAACTTTTATTTTCCACTGTCTTCCAAGGTCTCTTGGTCCAGTCATTTATTATGCATTAGTCATTATTCTAGGTGTGCCCACGCACTCCCGGGCAACTGTTGGGCATTAATTGCACAAATTGTCAGTCCTGGGGGTGGGGAATTAGCAAATTATGCACGGTCCAGAGGTCGGGCATTTGCCAACCTCTGGGTCACCCCCTAGCTTTTGGTACGCGCATGCATTCCTTTTTAAACATAACTAAACATGGAGGATTTTACTGGAAACACCAGCAGATTTGCAGATTGACTCATCTGTCTTGATATATGCCTGCATTTCTTCACTGCTTAATCAAGCCAGAAGTCAGGGGCTATTGTCCTGAGTTGACATTTTTTTTTTGTCATGGAACGAAATTTCTGTTGATCTAGGATTTGACTATAATTTTGCCGTGATGATATTTCTAATTTTACTATCATTGATCTATCTATTATATTTACTTTTTCATAATATTTGACTGTTTGGAAGAGATATATCTCAAAAGTACAAAAATAAGAATCATGAAGTGGTATCATCGCTCAGGAAGTCTTAATTAGAATGGCACTATCAAAGGCAGATGTTAACCAAAATAACATAAAATCCACTACTTGACTGTATGATCAATGAAAATTGCTGCAGTGTTGACGGTGGACGGGGCATTTGCCCTCTTTCTTCGTCTCTGCGGCGGGGCATTTCAGCTCAAGTGTCCCAGCCCCCGAGATTTTTCCATCCACAGCAAAGGAATGCTTATGCAATGCCCGGAGGTTCACCGGGTGGGGGGAGGTTAGGAGGGGTGGGCTCACCAAAGATTGACTGATACATTATTGTAGCTCTGTTACTGATACAAGCACTTGTGGAAGACCAGGTTCATCATCCAAATGACCCTGGAGCACAAGCAATTGCGATCACTGATAATGAGGACGAAGAACCTATCCACTCACCCATCCAAATCACAGCAGTTTTAAATTTAGTACCTGTCTGTTCCACCCCAGAAGGGAAGAGGCAGAACCCTTGTTTGTTTGTTTGTTTTTTGAGGGGTTTTCACTTGAGCAAAAATTATTGTTTTTTTTTTTGTTACTTGAAGTCTGTCCCATATGCATGTCACCTGCTGTTCTTGCTGGCTGTTACCACTGCTTTCATAATCTCAATGCTTCTTTCTGAACTGTTACCCACAGTCTTGCTTTAAGATTGATACAGATTGCTTTAAGCTCGGAGCAGATCAAGTCAATTTGCACTCTAGAATGAGAATAGTCTGTGTTACTAAGAAAAGTGTTTTTTCCTTTTAGAGAAATGGTGTTTCATTTCAATGATTTAATAATGTTCTGATGCAACATAGACTTTTTATTATAAATCAGATCAAATTTTATACAGACACAAAAACAGAAAAGAACATAGGGAAGGAAAGAGAAAAGTCTTTATTGAGTTTTTGAGTGTCAATACCTTTCCATCAAAACATGAAAAACCTGCCCCAAGCATCCAATTGCCATCAATATTAATGATTTTGTTGTACCCACTGCATTATGAGAGCAGGCAAGGGCAGGCTGAGGGGGAGGTCTTTCCTAAAATGCAGTTTTTAGTTAATGCTGTTTTCTCCTGTATGCTAGAAAAAATTACAGTACACTGCTTTTCTCTTGATTCTTTATACTGTAAAGTATGTCAGGTAGGGCTAATGTTCTCCCCAAGCTTGAGTATATAATGAGCAATGGACCTCAAAAGCTTTGTTTATGCACAGCTAGCCTCATAGAGAGAATGAGGCTAGCTAGAAACAAAGCTTTTTAAATCTCCTGAGACAAAATAGCCACCATGTGACAAAGGTCTATGTGACATCAAGTTGACTATGTTAATGGACTCATTACATGTACATTGAGAATCTGTGAACTTAATATCGCTGTTTATGTTAATCTGACTCCCCTTCATTGACAACTTTCATTGCTTGTATAATTTATTAAAAATTTAAGTTCAGAATAAAACACCAGTCCATGAGGACAACTGATTCACAGGGTCTTGCATTACTCCACCCCAAAGGGGAGTAGGAGAGACCCTGATACTCCGCCCTATCCTAAATCCACCCTAATTCTTGGAGTTTATCATTACCTCACCACAGAGGGGAAGATAGCAGACCCAGACCCTTATCCTAAATGCAGCATCATTTTCATGGTGTTATACTACCTCATCCCAGATTTGAAGGAGAGAGATCCAAAAATCACTATCCTAAATACAGCCTCATTCCTAGCCGAGGGTCTTTCATTACCCCACCCCAGGGGGGAAAGGGAGACACCCCGGACTGCCCATTCTTCATACAGCCTCTGAGAGGCCCAGGGCTCCATCTCCTCAATGCAGCGTGATTATCTGGGTTTTTCATTACTCCACCCCAGGGGTGAGATGGAGAGACCCTGGACACCCACTATCCTTAATCCAGCCACATTTTTAGAGTCATTCTTTCCTCCCACCCCCCCACCAGAGGAGAAAAGGAACAACCCTAGTCTACCTATCTTAAATACAGCCTCATACTTATGGTCCATCATTACCCCACCCTAGAGATGAGGAAGAGAAACCCTAGACACCTCTATCTTAAATCCAGCCTTATTCTTAGAGTAAAAAGGCACTTAAGTCTATTAATGTATGATACAGTGAATGGAAATGTACCTAGCTACTTAAGCGATCTTTTCTCGAATGTCTGTGAGAACAGCCCTTATAAGTCTATGCTAAGAAATACGGAATATAATGTTGTACTGGACCACATTCCAAAAACAGAATAATATAAAGGGTCTTTCTCATACACAGGAGGAATGCTGTGCAATTCATTACCAAATGAGATAAAAGCGTCCGAATCTAAAGCTATCTTTAAAAGAAAACTGGCTAGTAGGCAGGCAAACTGTTGACTACATTTTACTATATTTTATTATTTGTCCATATTTTTAGTGTAGTTGTACAGTATTTACTTCTGTTTCTATACGGCTTTCATGTAAAGAAGTTATGTAACTTAAGAAATTACTGTATTCAAATGAAAGTGAATCAATCAATCAATCAATTTATTGCCCCACCCCAGAGGAGAAAAGGAGAGACCTCAGTCTGCCTATCCTAAATACAACCTCATACTCATGGTTGATCATTACCCCCCCCCCAGGAACAGAAGAAGACAGACCCAGGTTTCCCTGTCCTAGAATGTACTTGTTTTAGAAGTCTGGCAAAATAGGTTCTTGTATTATGGGGTACTTGTTGGCAATTTAGGCAAAGCAGGTTCTTAATTTGGTTCTTAATTCCTATGAAGGCGATAATTGTTGATTACCAGAAAGATAAATAAAATTGGGTTTGGTCCTTAAATGTGCAGTATGAGCAAACGTTTTAGACTGTTAAACTGCAAAAATACCTACAGTACTTTGCAAGCCTCGTTTTGCCACAGGCCGCCCGAACTCTGTGGGAATTCGTTGGACTTTGAATTCACAAGAGAATGTATGAAAATAAGCAAAATCAAGAGTACTGTTATGATCTCTTGACAAAATACGTCTTAAATTCCAATTTTGGACAAAAATAAAAATGAAAATGACTAACCTTGTGTTTGTGTTTTGTCTTACTGTCTGTTCACTTCTAGAGCCATTTGGAAGCCGTTTTATCGACGTTTAAGATTTTGAGTTGCACAACTCAAAATCTTAAACGTCTGTAAACAATAATTACAGTCTGTAATTTATATAAACTTGTTATTGTTGTAGGGATTAGTACTTATATTTGTAATAGAAGTTTGGTACAGTATGTTCTTGTAATTATACTTAAATTTACAATGTCAAGGTTAAACTCCTTGGAGTTGGTTAAGTTGTTTTTCATAATTTAACTGTAACCCACATATAAGAACCTGCTTGATCTTGCTTAGCTAAACAGGTTCTTGTATTTTTTAGTATTACAGTGACAAAGTTTGCCAGGATGTTTCTAATCCACTAGGTTCTTCTGCGCGGGTTTTCACTGTTCATGAATTCAAACCTGGTAAACGGTGTGCCCCCACCTTCCGTAAATCGCTTTAATGGGTAGTTTTTTGTTCACTTTATCTTTTAACAGTGTCTTCCTTAACATAGTCTTGTTATGGCATTTAAGGTAACTATTCATGTGTTAAGATTTGTGGGTCTTTTCGTTGCAGATCCTTGGGTAGGAAATGCCACAAAGGGCCTGGAAAGGGTCATATCTGTAATTAACAAGGTACAAAGAATTAGACACATAGCCTCAACTGTAGCGCCGGCTTTTCCATTTAGTTCTAAGACGCACTGTTTCTCAGTTTACCTTGAAATCCGCATCATAATGGCATCTGGCGGTTGGGTAGCAGAGCTTGATAAGAAAGAACACAAAAACTGGGTGATGGTTGGTTGTGCTCTTAACATTGCCAAAAAAGGAATAGTACCAACAATTCAAAACAAAATGGAAACTTGGTACCAGTCCATTATTTCCAGTCCACCGCTTCAGTCACTTCCCCCTTGCGCATGCGCACCTTCAGCACCAAAGTGCGCTACTTGCGTCACCTGGGAAAAGGAACTGAAACGTCACCACAAGTCCGGGAGACCAAAGATTTGCTGGGACAACAGTGATCGAACACAGTGGGGATCTCCGACTGGGGAGTGGGAGATAGCTAAAGTTTATATGCCAACTCTTGGAAGCCGAGCAAAGGATGTCATCGACGCAGATGGAACTGACATCGACGGTCTTTTGAATTTGTTAGAATGGTGTACTTTTATCAATCCCCCTGTGAGTCGAACTCTTTTGAATTCAGGAAGAGATAAATGTAGAAATCGTTGGGCGCATGCTGCAAAACAAGAAATTTGTGATGCCGATGTTCCAACTATATTGAGTCATCTCAATAATCTGCTTAGTGACCCAGTGTTTAACTCTGAACTGTCAGCCCGAAAAGCATCCAATTATTTGCAAGATTTGTCCCGTCAAGGTCTGATTAACGTCAGAGAGTCTGAGGTTGAAGCTCTTCACTTGTTGCGGCAATGTCTGGAGGACGATCTGAGAAAGTGCCAAGATGACTTGGCATATACACTTCGACATTTATCTCAGGTCCAAGAACAAAGTAATGTGAACAAGTCTGAGATCACTACCCTAAGGCAGCAAATGGAAGAAGAATCAAAAAACTTGTCTGAAAATGTGTCCATGATATTGGTTGACGTTGCTGCCTTCAACAAGTCCCTAAACCAAAGAGATGATCTCAGAAACACCATTGAGGTTATTTGTGATGACTTAGATGAATTGTCGAATGGTATACAGAAGGTTGTTATGGAACTAAATGCAGTGGGACTGATCTTACCCCAGTTAGAAACCAATCTCAAAAACTTGTATTGGGAAGTACACAAAGTAGTCAAGAACGTTTCTACAAACAAAAGCTCGATCTCAAGATTACAAGAAGATGTCATGGAGATTAAAGAAGAAGTAGAAACATTGAAACACAAAGCCCACGTTGGTCCACACAAGGTAGATGATGATGGCGAGGACGATGAACATATTCTTTACACAGCACCGATTGGGTTAACAGATTTTACCGGCCGCAAAGCAGAACTACAATGGCTTGAAAGAAACCTTCTTTCGCTGAACCCTGAAAAGAAACCCGGAAGCTCATCTTGTATTAAAACAATATGCGGCCTTGGAGGATGTGGAAAAACCTCGCTAGCTATAGAATTTGCTTGGCGTTGCAAGCATCGCTTCCCAGGGGGCGTGTTTTGGGTCAACGGTGAAAGTAATGAAAATCTACGGAAATCCGTGGTCGAAGTACTTACGTTTGTCAATATCAGCGCCTCAGTGACCGACAACATAGAAGACATCTTGAACAAATTCCTGTCATGGTTGTCCAAAATGAAACGTCCATGGCTTCTTGTGGTAGACAATGCCGACGAATTAAATGATCCAACCTGTCCAGCAGGCGTTAAGAAGATTTGCAAAGGGGTGTTGCAAAGAACGCACCTCCCAAGAAAGCATGGTCACATACTTGTTACTACCAGGGCAAATGCAACAGAAAGTAAAACGTTTTTGAAGATTTCAAATGATGATTGTTTGATGTTACAGTGCTTCAGTGAAGAAGAAGGTGCATTATTTCTAATGCAACGGACAGGTCTCGAAGGGAACGATCTTGACCCAGATGCTATTTGTTTAGCGAAAGAACTGGGATTCCTGCCACTAGCCCTCGAACAAGCCGCAGCATACATATCTTCCAGCCCTCTTCCACTTAGTTTTAAAGATTACCTTAACAGATATAAAGAAGTTAAGTTTCGTCTTTTAAAGCAGCAACATGCCACGGCTCTAAGTCTAGAAGCACAACACAGGTTGTCAACTCACACAACCTGGATGATGAACTTCGAATATGTCAAAGAAAGGTCACCTGCCGCTGCAAAGATTATGCGTATTTCTGCTTTTTGTGAATCTGAATTTATTCCTTTCAATGTCATCAACCGTGGATCTCCTGAATTCAATCAGGAGGAACGGAGGGAAAGTTCGTTTTCTTATTCAGATATTGGTGACATCCTGAAGATACTATCAAGCTACTCTCTTTTCACAGTAGACCACCAATGTAAAATGTTCCGTGTCCACAAGCTTGTTCAAGAAGTAGTCAGAGAAAGCCTTACGAATTCAGAAAGGATAAAGACACTGGTAGAGTGCGTTCGCGTTCTTCGTTTTGCGTTTTTACAATTTCCTACATTCGAGAATTTTAAGTTAGGCAACCTCTACGAACTGGACGTAGGAGACCAACGTATTGTTTTCTCTCTTTTGCTAAATTTTCTCAAGTTGACGAGGTATATGGAAGAGGAAATAAACGCGCCGAGAGAGAATAACAACCGTGAACTCTTTGGAGTCAACACCTTTGAGTTTTGCAAATTTGTATACCACCTCGCTAAAAACAGAAATTCACTTTTTTGGCTTAGTAGTGAACTAACAGACTTTTACTTAACACTTTTTAAAGTGGTGTACGGTGACAGTGATCCGAACTGGCTTCTCTCTGAGATGGTCGACGCAAGTATCATCAAAGAGAAGAGCGTCGCTTCTAAAGGAAAACACGAAGGAAAGAATTTGATTGATAATGCCATGCAAAAAATGTTTGAATTTCAAAAATCTGGAGTGGTTATAGAGGCTGATGTCAAATTCCGTGTTCGCTATCAAAAAGCGAAGTTCCTCTTTTATGAAGAAGGGGTGGAAAAATTCTACAATGCTTTGTTGGAGCTTGAAAGTTTGGACTTGCCAATAAGCGAACCTATTACTGCGGTTCTTCAAATGAAAATCGCGGAGTTAGAATACCAGAAAGGCAATAGCTCTGAATTAGCGTTTAAACGCGTAATGAAAGCTTTAGAGATTGCAAGAAGAGTTTACCCTGGGGATGACCCAAAGTTGCTGCTTCTACTTGAGTTGGCCAACGTCACGCTCTCCAACAACGGCAAATTTAAGGAAGCTAAAATGTGTGCCAAAGAAATGCGAGATATTTATATGAAGCTACCTCCTTCGTCTGACGACGTGGTGATGGGACTGAGGAAGTTTTCTAGTTTTATGTGTCAATCAAACCACATAGCCATGGAAGCAGGTTCACTAGAGAATTTAGAAAACAGATGGCCCCATATATATAGTTGTGTAAAAGATGGCTATGTAAATAACTGTATTCCTTATGTAGATGACGGAAGCGAAGAAGTCGTCGCCATTACTCTGCTCAGCATAATGAGGAGCTTTGCCATAGCTTTAAGCGAGGGCAGTGAACCAAACTTTCCTGCAGAAAGGTTGGCTATGTACCTGCGAATCGGTGAAATATTTGTGTCCCTTCGAAGGCATTATTATGGCTCTAACTTTCCAGATATGCTAGAGGCATATTCCTTTTTAACAGCAGTGAAGTTGCTCCTAGGAACTGATGAAAAGGGTGCATTTGCTTGTCGTCAGTTACGGGTATTTGCTTCTAATCGCCAGGGACGTTCTGAACAGTGCAAAGTGGACCATGTGCAGACACAGGTCTGAACCAATCGAGTCGTTACAGAGATGCAGGTAACTGTTTTTTCAATTTAGGTGACTATTCGAGGTCACTTGAATTCTATAACAAAGCCTTAAACCTGAATCAAGGAGATGCAAAGTTATTAACTAACAGAGTTGTTGCGCAAGTCAAGCTTTCTAAACAGAAAGCACAGAGTCAACCTTTTAAAGAGCAGCAGAACATTCTTCAAAGTGCTCTCCAAGACTCTATAAGCGCGATATCTGCAGATCCTTCTTGGGTGAAGGGATACTACTGGAAGGCTGTTTGTCTTGCTGAACTTGGGCAGAGAGGCGCATCACTTGCTGCAGCTGCAGTTGCTGAATGCCTGTTTCCACTACAATGTACCCAAATACCTGCTGTTGTCGAGCATTTTGGATGCTACATTGTAAAAGAAGTAGCTACTTCTGAAGATCTCGGGCGCGCCGTAGAGATAAGTGAAAACAGTCTCGTAATTGTTGTTTGCAGTGGGAAATATGGACTAACTCAGCCTTTGAAGGTTCCATCAAATGCAGTGATAGTTGGCCTTGGTGAAGTCGAAATCACCTGCGCCAAAGGCGTTCCACTGTTCCTGGATAAAACTGTTTACATCGACAACATTGAACTAACACCATCCGCGGATTTTATCAGAGTGAACGAAGCGGATGCTAAAAATTGCCTCGATCGTGGACAGTTAGACCAGGCGTTGTCTGTGTATAGCAAGGTATTGGCGACATGTCCAGAAAACACACAGCTTCTTACAGCTAGGGCTTCGACTTACTTGAAAGCAGCGAAAGAAAAGAGCAACACGTGTGAGCGGGAATCGTTGCTGGAGCTTGGTCTGGAAGACACCAAAGCCACCATCAGAGCTGACCCTTCTTGGTTACTTGGCTACTCCACCAGAGCTGCGATTATGACAGAGTTGGGGAGGAAACACGAAGCCTTGGCCTCTGCTGCAGTGTTTAACCACTTGAGCTCTGGTCGGGATATTTCGTCAGTCATTCAACGTTATGGAGCGTTGCAGATTCATGTTGTTGAAAGCTCAGATGAATTGAGCACTGTTCTTGAAGAAACAGAGGAGCCTGAAGGAGTAAATCAAATTGTTTTAATGAAAGAAGGAGAGTACCTATTTGAAAAGAGCGTTGAGATCAATCCAGCAATCATTGTTGTTGGTCTAGGGAAAGTAATTGTTTCGTGCAAGACTGGCGCACCTTTTAACTTTAGAAAGGAACATTTTGTCGAGAATGTTGAACTTCAGGGAGACTGTGGTGATGCGCCAGAATCACTAGAGACTACGAGTTCGACAAGTCTTTTTGGTCAGGAAGAAGAT